AAAAAAAAAAAAAAAAAAAAAAAAAACAGGTCTAGCAAGAACTGCTGCTTTGGCTTTATGTCATCATCCAGAAATAAAAAAGAACTGAACCATGTAGTTATCATTTGAGGTTTAGTAACTATACCAGCAATATTACCTCCAAGCTGGGTTGCCTGGTGGTTCTCTTAGAAATGCTAAGTTGCAATGGTTTAAGGAGGGTGTCTATACCTTAGTGATTTATTTTCATAATTCCCAAACTTTTTACTACAAAAATCTCCTTTTCTAAAACGAAACTATAGTGTCTGACATTCACCTAGGGACATAAATTTTGAAAGCTCTTGCTTACAAAGCCAGGATATTCATCTAAGGCACTGACACTTCAGACACTGCACTTAAACAGAATGCTGAGTATAGAAAATAATTTAAAACTAAAGTTGGTAGGTAAATTGTATATAACCTTAAAAGAAGTAGAAAATTTTTTGTAGATTTATAATTATCTTCAAATTATATTTTTTTCTTGAAAAAATTGAGCCTTTGAAAAGCAAATATGTAATTCAGCTCTCAAATTGCTTAATGCTCTTCATTCCTATTGTATTCACATGTGAAAGCATGTGATCAATTAATTGTTCCTGCATCAAAGATAAGAAATCATTTCTGTTAGGTGGGCATTATTTATGATACATTCTACGAAATAGTAAGGACATTATTGTAAGATGCATGATAAAAACCTGAGTGGAGAGGCTGTTTGTGTTTAACTTACAGTATTGAGGGATCCATGAGGTAGGCGTTCAGAGTGATATTCTTCTGCATTACAGTAGGAAAAAGTTATTTTTAATCTTAGTTAAAATTAAAGTTAATTTGTAGTATATCATTTAACTTATTGTACTTGTATGTAATAAAATGCGTTATGTTTAAAAAAAAAAGCCAGGATATTTATTCAAATAATAATTCTATTTTAAAATTATTCAGCTAATCAGAGATGCTAATTGGCAGGTGAAAATCCAGTGTTGTGACACTGGTTTACTAAATGTAATGAAAAGCAAAGACTGTTTTGGGTAGCCTGGTCTGTCTTAGTGCCTCTATCTTTGTTTTTGAGACAGAGTTGTGCTCTTGTTGCCCAGGCTGG